TAGGGATGGGAATGGGAATTCTGGAGATGTTTTACAGGATTTGGGGCTGTTTTGAAGGACACCGATGGTTTGGAAGGATTTAGGGGTTCAAAGCTGATTTTGGGGTGCCCCCACCTTCATGGCGATCTCCTGATGGAGACACCTGCCCACGGCGAGAGTGACCCCATTTTGGGGCTGGAAATGGGGGATTTGGGGTTCAAGGAGGACACTTAGGACCTGAATCAGATTTAGGGGTTGGAGGCTGATTTTGGGGTGCCCCCACCTCAGGTGGATGTCCTGATGGAGGCGGCCGCGCACGGCGAGAGCGACCCCATGAAGGGATTTTGGGGCTGGAAATGGGGGATTTTGGGGACATTTCATGGGATTTTGGGGTTCAAGGAGGACACTTAGGACCTGAATCAGATTTAGGGGTTCAAGGCTGATTTTGGGGTGCCCCCACCTCAGGTGGATGTCCTGATGGAGACACCTGCCCAACAGGGAGAGCTGATCCATGAAGGGATTTTGGGGTTGGAAATGGGGATTTTGGGGTTCAAGGAGGACACTTAAGACCTGAATCCAGTTTTGGGGTCCAAGGCTGATTTTGGGGTGCCCCCACCTCAGGTCGATGTCCTGATGGAGGCGGCCGCGCACGGCGAGAGCGACCCCATGAAGGGCGTGTCCGAGAACATCATGCTGGGCCAGCTGGCCCCGGCCGGCACCGGCTGCTTCGATCTCCTGCTGGACGCCGAGAAGTGCAAGCACGGCATGGAGATCCCCAGCGCCCTGCCCGGCCTCGGCGTCGGCGGCCGTGAGTCCCAAAAACCCTGGGAAAACCCTGGGAAAATTCTGGGAAAATTCTGGGAAAATTCTGGGGAAAACCCTGGGAAAATTCTGGGAAAATTCTGGGAAAACTCTGGGAAAACCCTGGGAAAATCCTGGGAAAATCCTGGGAAAAACCTTGGGAAAAGCCTGGGAAAAATCTGGGAAGAACCCTGAGAAAACCCTGGAAAACCCCTGGGAGAAACCTGGGAAAAACCTTGGAAAACCCTGGGAAAAATCCCTGGGAAAATCCTGGGAAAACACCTGGAAAACCCTGGGAAAAACCCTGGGAAAAACCTTGGGAAAAACCCTGGGAAAATCCCTGGGAAAAACCTGGGAAAACTCCTGGAAAACACCTGGGAAACACCTGGGAAAACCCCTGGGAAAACCCTGGGAAAACACCTGGAAAACCCCTGGGAAAACTCTGGGAAAACCCTGGGAAAATTCTGGGAAAATCCTGGGAAAAACTCTGGGAAAATCCTGGGAAAAACCCTGGGAAAAAATCTGGGAAGAACCCTGAGAAAACCCTGGGAAACCCCTGGAAGAAACCTGGGAAAAACCTGGGGAAACCCTGGGAAGATTCTGGGGAAAACCTGGGAAAATCCTGGGAAAAATCCTGGGAAAACTCTGGGAAAACCCTGGGGAAAACCCAGAAGAACCCTGGGAAAATCCCTGTGAAAAAAAACAGGGAAAATCCAGGGAAAAACCCTGGGAAAACCCTGGGAAAACCTGGAAGAACCCTGGGAAAATCCCTGGGAAAAAACCTGGGAAAATCCTGGGAAAATCCTGGGAAAATCCTGGGAAAATCCTGGGGAAAATCTGGGAAAAACCTTGGGAAAACCTTGGGAAAACCCTGGGACAACCCTGGGAAAAACCTGGGAAAACCTGGGAAAACCTGGAAGAACCCTGGGAAAACGGGGACACCCCTTGGGATGGTGGCCGGGTTCCTCCAGGAGGAGCTGGGGACACCCCAAGGGTGGTGACACCAAGACCTTGGAGGTCATCGTGGTTGTTGTCCGGTTCTGGGTGTTTGGAGGTCATCGTGGTTGTTGTCCGGTTCTGGGTGTCCCATGGCAACAGGGGACAGCCCCAGATTTTGGGGTCACCAGGACTGGAACATTCAGATCCTACAGGGGGGCACTGGGGACACCCCAAGGGTGGTGACACCAAGACCTCTGAGGTTGTTGTCCGGTTCTGGGTGTCCCATGGCAACAGGGGACATCCCCCAGATGTTGGTGTCCCCCCCCCAGATGTTGATGTCCCTCAGATGTTTGGTGTCCCCGAGATCTTGGTGTCCCCCAAATTTTGGTATCCCCCAGATGTTGTTGTCCCCCCAGTTGTTGGTGTCCCCCCAGACTTCGGTGTCCCCCCAGGTTTTGGTGTCCCCCCGGTTTTGGGGTGCCCCTGACCCCGCCCCCTCTCTCCGCAGCCACCGGAATGTTCTTCGGCTCCGCCCCCAGCCCCATGGGGGGGATGTCCCCGGCCATGACCCCCTGGAACCAGGGGGCCACCCCGGCCTACGGAGCCTGGTCCCCCAGCGTGGGTGAGTGGGGAACTGGGGGGGACTGGGATGGACTGGGCTGGACTGGGAGGGACTGGGATGGGATTGGGAGGGACTGGGAGGGGACTGGGATGGACTGGGAGGGGACTGGGAGGGACTGG